CCCAAACTTTATTTTTTTTAAATATTTTTTATATTCTACTAAGCCAGCGCTTATCTATGATCCCACTGAAGGTAATGATGATGTAGCCTAAGCTTAATTGTTTACAATTTGTGTCTGGCAGCCCTGTTTTACTGGCAGCGGCACTCACTGCGCCGACTACTCGCGTTCTCGAAACTTGTTTTCTAATGCTAGTCCTAGCTGGTAACTATAGCTACTATTTATTCTGTGGCGGTAAAAAAAATGCGGATGTTATTAAAACATTTTGTCTCTGTAATAAAATTCTTATATTACATAACATTTCAAAATATACAATATTAAAAAACTAAATATATAAAAAAATTAAACGAATAACTTAAATTAGGTATCATATAGTTCTACTCCCCGTGGTATTGTGCCAAGAAAACTGGCTTCTTTCCTCGTTATAAAAGAACCAGCCCTCTTATCAAGCAGCGACGACCAGTCGCGGATAGAGTTTTAGAATAATATTTATTTTGTAACTTACATAGAAAACAATCGTAGAATATAAGAAATCCATTAAGAATTAATTAATGATAGCAATTATATCATCTTGAAAGTATCTAATACAGATATATCAATAGGCTTTAAAAGATTAAGAGTTATTTCGGATGGAAACATTGAACTCACAGAATCAACGTATTATTATCGACTGATAGTGGCTTTTAGGTACCTATAATTCCTACGTAGAGCGAATTGGTATATCGTGTTTATTCGTGTGATATTTTATTTAAAAGACCTTAGTACCTTATTTGATATAGATAGAAACCTGTAAAACCACAAAATACTTAACATAGACAAATATCATTGTTCACATATTAAAATACAAATAAAAATATTGATTTTCTAATTTTTGTTAGTCAAATAAGTTACAAATTATATCCATAATATGATGTGTAATATAAACGTGTTGTCTACTATTTCTAGCGTTTGTTTCAGGCATATCGAGGTGAATGACGTCTATCGGTTTGCATTGGCATACTTAAATATATACGGCTGTTCAAAGCGAACGCGAAGGCGCGCCGCTATTCCGTCATTTTATTGGTCGACCTCATGTTTGTCTTCGAGCGTCCATGTTGGTTTATTTATAAACTGGTGTACCTACAAATGTCAATTGAAGCTATTATCAGCCCCTTTTAAGAATACAAACGCTTACACTACTTTTAATCATTAATTACAAAGTCGGGCCTATCCATAAGGTACCTATCTAATTTTGCTTGTATGTTCTTTTTTTTTTAGTATAGGGTGACAAACGAGCACACGGTCCACCTGATGGTAAGTGGATGCTGTAGTCCATAGACATCTGAAGGCTAAGATGTAATGCCTCGTTTCCAGTAAAAAGGCTCTCCGGTTCTTTAAACTCACCATACGAAACACAGCAGCGTGAAGCCACTATTTTACGCTGGTATTCTGTGAGAGCGTGGTCCCGTTCGAGCCGACCCATTCGCGCTACAACCACAATATGGCTGCAGCGTGGCTCTACCACGTGCCACGTTCTTACTTTTAAACAGTTAGATAGCCTTTAGATTTTACATTTGGGTTATTTTTAAGTATTTGTAGAATCTCACATTAGGTTTATACATGTTTTTTTCTATGATATAATATTGTTATCTTCGGATTTAGTCTTTCTAAGTTTCTACGTTCTATTTTTAAATTCTAACTCTATTTTTAAGTTTATCACGCAGATAAACCCCGTGCAAAGCCCTCTCCATAGCTCGTTGAGTGACCTTGGTAGTAGTTACCTACCGTAAATATTATTAACTGCAATTTTAAATTTCGACTTTCCCCATATCTAGGTGGTAGGACTCCTCCTTTACCTTGGAGTCCGCCTGGGTAGGTCCCACACTCCTACTTTAATAGCAGTGTTCGCACTGCTGGTTCTGGTCAGAAGTTTTTTTTTTTACTTATTATCAGCCAGTATTAATTACAGACTGTGAGAGATTCCTTCTTAGTGCTCAGAGGTGACAACACATAATATGTAGCCTTCTTTGCTTGAAGTTGACTGCAGGTGTCCATATTCATAGCAGTAGCCACTTACCATCAAATTGACTATAAAACAGATCAGACCACAAATCGTTGAAACTTCACAACACAGTAGGGAGTGTTGTCAACTATGCATAATTAAAGTTAAAGCATACATAACCAACGCATCATGCCGGAACACGACAACTTCATTTAACGACAAAACATTGAATTGGTGGGTGGTAACCGAAAAGCCAGCGGCCGAAACTTACCACCGGAATTGGTGCCGCTCGCGTAACACTACCCGGGGGACACGTGTAGGGAGTCAGATGTCAAGTATTTCCTACGGACGCGAGCAGCCTCGTCACTCAAAAAGTTGCGTCACATACCGTCATAATTCACCTTCTCTTCGGCAGTTTCTAATAAACCTGTACCTAAGCTCCTAGAAACACTAGACTAGACGTTAATATAGGGCATGTCTTGATGGCATTCCTCCAATCAGCGTTGTAAGATATGCTAATAGTATATATTAGCTATTGTTTACAACAGATCTATTTGCGAAGGGTATGTTGCGATCAGGTGCATAAAACGGAAAACAAAACCGCGTTTACTATTTTGTAATATTAGAAAACATTATTTATGTTCAATTTAACTGTTTACTGAGAAGAACATTAGAGGTCAAAATAGAGACGTTATCAACGAACTATTTTCACTAATAAACTACAATTAACGGGAATCCATGGTAGTTTGCATTGATAGTTCTAATCTTAAATTGAAAAGGCAAATTAAATTGCATCGATGGTTCTCATAAATTAAATGTCAGGCTAGAACAGAACAATCTAATATCTTCTGGAATTTCTCAAGGATCCCTATTAAGGCCTTTCCTTTACGGCATTTTTGTAAATGACGTATTATCTTATATTAATTACCCTAAAATTCTTTTATCGCTGATGACATGAAAATGTTGAAAGGAGTTAGTACTCTAAGAGATTGCTGAATTTCTTAAAATATCTAGCACAACTTGAGTCCTACTGCTCAGAAAACAAATTAAATCTTATAAATAAATGTCATACGCCAACGATTACGCGTCAAATTCGATTGTGTGCCTAAATTTTGACTACATTTTGAAGAGCAAGGCGCTAATATAAACTACCAAATTTCACAAGAGATCTAGGAACATTTCACGATAGCAATCCTGACATTGATAATACTCGTACGGTGAATAAAGCATCTAAGGCTCTTAGTTTTGTGATCAGACACAATAAACATTTCTCTGATATTAAGATTATTAAAATATTGTCTTGCTCTTACATATGTACGCAATTCTAGAATATGCTTGCCAAGAATATGGTAGTCATATTATGACACATACTCGTACATCTATCGCGTTGAATCTATTCAAATGAGATTTATGACATTTTTAAAGTACTACAATATAATGCCAAAACTAGAGACGACAGTTACCTATCACGGTGGAGGAGATTCCATTTTCCATCTTTGCAGCAAAACGAATATATACCAGTTTACACACATTTTTGTTTGCGTATTAGAAAATAATATTTGCCTTTTTTACATTAGTGGCCACATTGTTGCATTAGGCTCTATTTTACAGGACCTATTTTAATTGACAAAGTTCAAATTAAATTCACAAAATGACTGGAAGGCTATATCTACATCTCAGTACCATCGGTCACGTTCGTGTCTATTCACAAAACTGAAACCTGCTATGTATACCTATCGCTAAAAAATTGAAATCGTTAATGTACTTTCGGGACTAAGAAGTTGTACAGGAAAGACGTGACTTGGGATCTACGAACTACCGGAATCTACGGACTAGATAGGATAAAGTCTAATATCACTATCGGTAATATTAATTCTCTAGAGCTATTAAAAAAACTTGGTATTTTCAAGCTCGAAGGCGTCACATTTGTCTACACATTGCTTCATGTAGAAGTAAAACAAATTACAGAAAAAAGAAATTCTCATAAGGTAGAGTAACTCTATGTTTAATGGCGTTGATCTCTTTTATACTAAAACAAGTGAAGCAAAGTTCATCAAGTTCATCTAAAAATTATTTGACTCTCAACCAGTACTGAATCATTCAAGTTGATTGATTTAATAATTTTTATTTTTTCCTTGTATTATTCAATGAACAAAAAGAATATCCACCAATAAAATATAGATGAAAACTTTTATCGGCATGTGATTATCCATGTTATCTTTACTTGTATTGTTTTTAATTATTAGCTGTAATTTTCTATAAGTAATAAAATAAAAATAACAGTTCAAAAACAGTGCGATGTCGTTATTGTAACTAGATGAAAAATACAATTTATCGGTTATCATCTTGACCCGGACAGTCTGGCGACGTCAAGGTCCGAGATCAAGTAATTGCATTTAAAATGAATACTTATTATTTTACTGAGTGTGAAAGCCATAAATTCAAATTCCGAAAAAGTGATGCTTGCGAATTCAAAAGTTACACAATTAGCAACATCCAAACAATTACCAGCTACAAAATAAAAAAATTGACAATCATCGTTATATTTGGGAAAAGCATAGCCTTTTAAAATTACAATATTTCATTGAAGTATCATTGCATGTAGGTTATAGGAACAGAACGTATTTTAATCAATATATGTAGTTATAAATAATGCTAATGATTGAAAGTATTTTTAAATTTAATTTACCACTAGTTGGAAAAACACTTCTAAGTGTCTTCTAGTCTTCCTAAAAGAAGAATTAACAAGAAACCCAGCGGTAATATATTCCTAATATCCGTTCGTGATAGGATGGAAACTATATTTCTGGTCTAAAATTATATTGCCTCATTCGGTAACCATGACCACCAATCTCAAGCATCTATTTTATGTAACAAAATACCTCTTGGTTAAAAAAGTTCTTGTTTTTTTTTTATCACAAAAGATGACGATGATAGTCAGCCAGATAAATTCAGTGTACGTTCACTTGCTATCTGCGTCCTTAATAATTTTTTTTTCACAACCTATGTATTATTGTTACAGCTTCGCTTCGCTCGCGCCGCATCAGCCAGTTCGCGCCATTGCTTATCGCTTTAGTTGGTTTGCCCGCGCGCGGGAAAAGCCAGCTAGCTCACCGTCTCTCTAGACATCTCAATTGGAATGGAGAGAGCACTAAAGGTATGTAAAATTTTTCTTTTTTGTTGCACTATTCTAGTTTAAAATCTACCTAGATAAACTACTACTACTTTATATTGACGGCTCCGTGGCGCAGTGGCTTAGCAATGAGTTGCTGCGCTGGGGGCCGCGGGTTCAAATCCCGCACGGAACAAGTATTTGTATGGCCTACAAATAATTGTTCCGGGTCTGGATGTTTGTTCTTGTGCAATTAGTGTTTGTAAACTGCCTCCACGATACAGGAGAAAATCCTAGTGTGGGGGTTACGATTTTTAAGAAAAAAAAAATTGTGTTTATAGCATTGTTATAAAAATAAAGGTTTTTATTATTTGGAATTAAGTGACCATTGCACTTAATCCTATCAGGTACTTAAATTACATTATAAACAACAAATTAAAATATGTATATTTATTAGTCTCAATAACGTTTTATCTAAGAAATTTTAAATAAATATTTAGGTACATGACAGAGACACGCCTCAAGTGAACGAGCAAAAATAGTTTTAGGTAATGTTAAACATTTTAACCGTGACATATGTTTCTACACAATATTATACCTATTAGTATCATACAGACGATAATAATTTCATTACAATACCTTGACCTAGTTAAGGGTATGATCTAATCAGTAAGTTAGTCTTACACATTATGTGAATTAGTGATTATAGTACGTGAGGGTAATATGGTCATCCGTTTAATATAGTCACTTTCTTATAACTCAAAAACTACAGCTTTGTTTGCAGAGATCAGTCAATGAAATAATAAAAGGGTCAAAAGGGCACTGCTTTATCGACGCCATTTTGACAAGTGACATTATAGTAAATATTTTAGTCGATTTTAGTATTGTATAGAGTAGTTAGGTTTTTTTTTAAGTTGATTCTACGAAGTGTTACTAATTATTGCCAAAGCTTGTTTGCTATTTTTTCTTAATATATTAGTTACATTATATGACTTCGTGTATTTGTCTCTGTCCTCCTCATTATTTTGTTTTTATAGGGCGGCAAATCTTAAGATGACTATATTATCCTCTTTTGGATGTCAATTTGCTTAGACTAATTTTTTTAATATGGAATATGGGTGACAACACACGGTCCGCCTGATGGTAAGTGGATACTATGGCCCATAGACATCTACATTTATTCTCAATTAAAAATCAAAATGTAGATGCGTTGTCACACCTGAGGACTAAGTAATGCTTCGTTTCCAGTGAAAAGGGTCTCCGGTTCTACACTTACCATACGAAACACAGCATACATTAAGCTGCTATTTTACGCTGGTTTTCTGTGAGAGCGTGGTCTTACCCCGGTCGAGCAGACCCATTCGTGCTACAATATATGGCTCTACCACGTAAAGAATAAATATATTTCATACAAATAAAAATAAATTAGACTCTAATCCAATGATTTTTTTATTTCTAATCATTAGAGGGCTGAAGCAATGAAAATAAAACGAAGACTCATGCGACTAAGACTGTTCTCCGTTACCTTTCTGAGATATTTTAAGGTGGTGATTTCTGAGATAGTTAATCTGCTGTTTTTGGAAGCCATTTGTCGTACAATATCACAAAGTGATTAGAAGTTCTAGAGCATACAATACTCACGGTATTTACTTGTGTGATAGACACTTACGACCCCGTGACCATGCATTCTGTAATTATCAAGGTGCTGATTTATAAAGAGAATAACAATGTCGATTATATTTTGCAGTGCTATAAAGTACTTATTATTATTATCATTATAAAAATTGTGACATGTACTGTTGTAAAGTTCAATAAAATGGAACTCGCACGAGTTCATCGCACTTATTTAATGATGTAAATAACATTATAAAATAAATATTTGGAAACAATAATCAGGTTTAGAGACTATCAACATTATTATTATTACATTAATAAATATAAATAAATTGAATTTATTATATAGTATAAGTGTTATAATAATAATTCTATTTAAATTAGAACAATGGATTTTTATATTAGGGAAACTTCGTTTTTTAAAATTGAAGAGGTTCTTTTAGTTTGTGTTTTGTGCAAGTATTTGACATAAAACTCAAGTCAAATAAAAATACTTGCTCAAAGATCTATTTCAATCTATACCAGTCGCCATATGTTTTTAAATTTTACTGTAATTTCGAGACATCCTTCTAATTTTTAATTTAATTTAATTATAGTTGTAGACGCTTATTATTCTTCTTAACTATTTTAATCTCCTGCTGAATACAGGTCTTTTTAAGATAACATACTTACAACGCTGGATTGGTTAGCACTGAGCCTCCATCACTAGTCAGTGGAATTTGGGTTTAGTGTTTTGGATAGATTATCCGTCGTCAGTTTAAATCCCTTACAAATTTAGTTTTCATTAGGGTCCACTGGTAAATATTAGTGATATATTATGGTAAATTATATCACGCATCTTTATTCTAAATCTATTCATTATTATCTCTAGCATGCGCTACAAAAATGAAATAATTTTTGCATTTTTTTAAATATTATTTTATTTAATAGATCGTAAAGGTTCGTAAAAATAGTATATTTAACGAACCCTAGATTTTATTGCTTTGTATATTATTATATCCTTCAACATTGCTTATCATCTCTCTAGTGAGATATATGTATGTATATATCAACGTTTAGAATGATGTTATAAAGTAAAGTACAGGTACAGCCTACGTCCCACTGCTGGGTATAGGCCTCCTTTCTTTTATGAGCGGGCCTCGGACGGGAGTGATGTTATAAAAAATACAATACTACTAAAACTTTCACCACGAGACTATTAGTTAAAAAATTTTTTTATAGCATAGGGTGACAAACGAGCATACAGTACACCCGATGGTAAGTGGTTGCTGTGACCCATAGACATCTACATTTGTCATCAATAAAGAATCAAAATGCAGATGCGTTGCCACCCATGAGGACTAAGATGGAATGCCTCGTTTCCAGTAAAAAAGGGTCTCCGGTTCTCTACACTCACCATACGAAACACAGCAGTGTTAAGCTGCTATTTGACACTGGTATTCTGTGAGAGCGTGGTCCTTTTCCCGGTCGAGGCGACTTATTCGTGCCACAACTATATTACTAATATAGTTGCAGCATGACTCTACCACGTATAAAAAATATTGTCATAATGATCGTATTGTCATCAGTGTAATGTGGGGGCTAACCCTCGTTGAATGGAGTGACGACCTGATAGTAGTACAGAACCGTGCTGTGATAGGCTATAATGATGATGATGATGATCATCATACTGTCAAAACAGGTCAAACGCGATCGAGCTTACTAGGCGACCGTAACAACCTAAAGATTGCGTTTGTTTTAGTGTTCGATTGCAGCGAGTATCGTCGCAAGCACATGGCGCTTTATGGTAGCCATGACATCTTCCGCGCGGACAACCAGCAGGGTTCCGCTATCCGTCGTCAGAGCGCGCGCGAGGCCGTCCAGGACGCTGTAATGTGGCTCAAGGACGGCAATAGCGTTGCTGTAAGTTTTGTTTTCATGTTTGTTGCCTGCTGGTTATTAAAGATTTTAATAAAAACAAATACATGTACCTAAGTAACTTATTTCTCAACAATATAAAACTTATTTGAGAATTCATAAAATATATTTAGTGGTACTAAGCAATTAGTTATAAAAAATCTCACATCTAATGATGCCTTTCCACGCTTGACAAGCCTCGGCAAACGTGTTCAAGCCCCAAGCGTCCACAAATCTCGTTTGGCGTTTGTTAGTTGTTTACACGCTTGTGAATGCGTCAGTGTGCTACGTATATCCAAGCATCGCGGACACCGAACTTGTGTCGGCTATTGCGTTTGGTTTAACATACTTTTATTTGAAATACAAGCAAAGTAATACAAAAACAAGGAATTCTTGGCTTTTAATTCTTTTACTGGCTTTCCCGTTAACTCGACAAGACGACTCCAAGCTTTTGCAACTTTCTTTTTATTTTTATGATTAATGTCTTTGGGGTTCCAGATAGACGATTCGGTCTGGTAATATTCCAGAAACGATATACTCTCTTCGTTCGACCAGTCACTCATTTTAAACAAAGAACTAAACATGGGCTCGCCGCGAAATTACAATTTCTACTAAACGCGCACCAACGTGTGAATGCGTTGCAAGCGCTCGCCGCAAGCGCCCTTTGATCTGTGTCCAAAAACCGACCCTAGCCCGGATCAGGGACAAGTTCACGCAAGCCAAGCCAAACGCCCTCTTTACACACTTGTGGTTGTGGATGCTTACGGAGACTTGGCAAGCGTGGAAACCCGGCATAATATAAACAATACAAACTCGGATTCCTTCTCTGCCTAAGTGTCCGACTAGCTAGGTACGACCCTCTTAAATATTTCTGCCGCCAAACAGTAGCGCTTGCATTGCTGTGTTTCGGTATCAAAAGCCATAGAGAGTCAGTATAATTGCAGCCTGTAAAGCCGCGTCTCCGCCAAAGTTTTGTTGTCAACACAACATTTGCCAACAAAACTTGTTTCGATTTTCGGCTGCAACATCAAAGGAATACGCTTGTTGCCGACATTTGTTCCCTCGGTGGAGACGCTTGTTCACAGAAACATTTGTTGGCAAAACGTGTTGGCAAATGTTGTGTAGACAACAAAACTTTGGTGGAGACGCGCCATAAGGTATTCCATTTTCTACAGACTTCAAAAAGGAGGAGATACTCAATTCGACTGTATGTGTTTTTTCTTTATGTGTTTTACCTCATAACTTCTTTCTGAGTCAACCGATTTCGACGATCCTTTTTTTATTTGAAAGCTGGTGCTTTTCATGTGATCCCATATAAATTTGATCAAGGTCTGACCAATAGTTTTTGATCTTTAATAATATATATTGAAGTCGGTTGTACAATTTTTTTTAAATTATAGTCTTTAGAGGTGACAATGCATTCGTAGACAAACAAAGAACAAAGTTCACTTGAAAAAGTTAGCTGCAGATGCAGGTATCCACGGACTGCAGTAGCCACTTACTTTGAACTTTAAGTACTTTTATCACTTCATTTATATAAAAAATAAATTGTTTCTGTTAATATATAATAGTATTATATATACTCAGACCGGCGATAGGCAGCAGCTTCAAAAGTGCGAGGAGTTTGGTATTGCGATCGTCAAATCGTCAATCCATCTGCCAAGCGTGATGATTAAGGCACGTCTCTAAAAAGGGAGGGGCCCATGACAAACAGTGAAACTTTCATTATTCATCATCATTACAGCCCTTCACAAGTCCACTGCTGAACATAGGCCTCCCCCAAGGAATACCACAAAGCACGGTCCTGAGCCACCTGCATCCAACGACTTCCTGCATATCTTACCAGGTCGTCACTCTATCTAGTGGGGGGACGCCCTACACTTCGTCCGCCGGTACGAGGCCGCCACTCGAAAACCTTTTTTTCCCAACGGTTGTCGGTTCTTCGAGCGATATGGCCGGCTATTGCCACTTCAGCTTACTAATTCGTTGGGCTATGTCGGTCACTCTGGTTCTACTGCGGATATCCTCATTTCGAAGTTTATCACGCACAGAAACTCCGAGCATAGCTCTCTCCATAGCTCGCTGATCGACCTTGAGCTTCCTCATCCGGCCAGCAGTGAAGTTGGTAAAATTTACAGTGAAACTTTACACGTAATTAAAATAAGAAAAGTTAGATCCAATTATAAAAATGATGTAATAAATGAGAAATTTGCATTTGAAATAAATACATGATAACATTTCTTAGAAACATACGAGTATATTTAAATACGGATAAACGCAACGTATTTATCTAAACAGATATTGACGTAGCCTCTTGCACTTGTTTACTATTTAGAAAACGATTCAGAGATAGTGGTAAAGATCCGAAAATAATTCTAATTCATGTAATTTTTGTGAAAACTTTAGTTATTTCTTTCCAGATTTTCGATGGGACTAACATTACTCGGGAACAACGTCGCGAGCTAAATGAGTACTGCCTGTCCGACATGGGCTTCAGGATTCTGTTCATTGAGTGCGTTTGTGAAGATCAGGAACTGTTGGAGAGGAACATTATTGAGATCCTCCATTATTCCGCGGACTACAAAGCTATGACCGAGGAAGAAGCGGTGGACGATCTGAGAAAGAAGTTAGAGCACTACATGCGTCAATACGAACCCATCGATAGTAACTTGGAATCCATTAGCTTCGTTCGAGTTGAGAACATGGGTGAGACCGTCACAGCGCACAAAGTAGCCGGACAGAAGGAATCTGGAATACTCGGGTACTTGTCAGGAACGAGAGCGTTACCGCAGACACTATATTTCTCTCGGGTGAGTAATATTATATCAGAAGTCTAAACACTATTAGTTAACATTGTAATATCAATCGGACAAATCGATTTTCTGTTTATTTTAATTATTGATAAACTTGTTTTTTACTAGACATAACTTTAATTCTGTCATATTATGAAAATATGTAAACAGTCTATGTTTAGAATAGTAATTAATAAACATCTCGTGGAAAATATACGTATCTTGATTACGTATCTTGAATTCTACGCGGTAGAACAACGCTGTAGCTAGATTATGGTTGTAGCACGAATGGGTCGACCGGGGTCGGACCACACTCTCACAGAATACCAGCGTAAAATAGCAGCTTAATGCTGTGTTTCGTATGGTGAATATAAAGAACCGGAGACCATTTTTACTGGAAACGGAGCATTAGATCCTAGTCCTCAGGGATTTCAACGTATTATAATTCTTAAGTGAGGATAAGTGTAGATGTCTATGGGCCACAGCATCCACTTACCATCAGGTGGACAATATTTTCGTTTGTCACCCTTATCTATAATACGTTAGCCCGCAGATTTTCATGATGTACCACAGAAGTTAAAATAACATTGTTTAAAGCCTTCTGCCAAACAATATACACTTTTAATCTGTGGGTTGATTATATGCGGGGAGCTTTCAGGGCAATCCGAGTACAGTATAGCAATGCCTTCAGTGTGATGTCGGGTCTGCCGCGAATCTGCAGCGTATCGGGCATGTAAGCGCAAGCGCGCACTGATAGCTTCGAGACGGTGTTGCGCAAACAAGTCGCCTCGCTCATGCGCACAATACGTGGTAGCTCCAACACCATACTGAATGCTATTAGTGACAAAACAGATTGTACTATTATAGGACACTGGGTGATATGCATGTGCATAAACCTAGTGCCTCAGGCGGGCCTGGTTTATACTCGTACTTAAACTAATTATTCGTGTCTGCACCTAATTATTATTAACATAGCTATAACTTTCTTGTACCTACTATCAATTATGGATGTTTGTCCGAAATAAAAAGATCTTTTTTATTTTTTTTATAAAAAAAAGAATAATACTAAAAAAACTGGGATCCACTAGTCAATAAAATTAAATAGAAATCTAAGCATACCACTGCAAGACTTCAAGATACAGTAAGTTCATTATGCGTAGATCGAAAGAAAATTAATAAATAAAAGTTGAACAGCCTATGACCATGATGTGTGAATAGTGCTGCAAAGCACTCGAAACGTTGGAAGTTAGAAATAAGTTAATAAATTAAATGCGATAAAATCCGTAATAGTAGGTTAATCAATGTGTTATATTACATATAAGAAATATATAGCATAATATACGTATCCACAAGTATATGTTAATTTTTCTTAATTAAGTTTTTTCCGTTTATTTTGTTACCAGTTTCTTTTGAAACAAAGCTGAGATGTAAACAATTTATTGCTCTATACTTAATACACGCGTGCTTTGGAAAAAAGCCTTTTGTTGAAATCTATGTGCTTGCCAAGTGAAGGCTGAATTACGCTAGTTTTATTTCGCGTTGGCGTTCAACATATTTCGAAATATAAAATAGAAATTCTCATGAGAAATGAATAACCGGCCAAGTGCGAGTCGTACTCGCGGATGAAGGGTGCCGTACCATCGTAAAACACGTTTCTAGTAGCCCACTTTAAATTTAAATTTGTTTTTATTTTTATTATTTGTTGTCATAGCGGCAATAGAAATACACATTCAGTGAAAATTTCAACTGTCTACCTGTTACGGATTGTTGTAGTAACCTATCCAAGCTCTGTTGATCAAGGAATTAGTTTCAGAATTTAGATGACAACTATCTATCTTTTGCTTAGGTTCCAAAAAAATGCAAATCATTATTTTTAAATCAGCCCCGTAGCAATACCCCTAAAGAAAGTTTCTTGTTCATCCTCTGTTATGGTATAACAACTTCTACTATTTGATAAGTGAAGTCGTGAACAAATATTTAACGCACCTTTACAAGTACGAAAGCGCTAACAAGAGAAACTTTGCTATGCCATAAAGTGTTACCATCTTCGCTATCCTTCTATAACTGTCGAAACTACAAATATTACGAGTTGTGTTGAATAACACTTATTATCACGAATTTTATGGCGTCTAATTTTAAATTATTTTAAGTCCCTCCGACTCCCCCACTAGTGATGCAAAATCAAAACGACGAAAATTCGCGGAAATATAAGAAATCGCTACACAAAAATTTCTTCTTCATAATCCAACATATAAGCAATTTTACAACAGATATCAACCTAAAAAGGGATCATATATACGTCATTGTAAAAATCAACATCATTAGATGATGATAAAATTTCGATTATGGCAGCATCTTGCAAATACTGTTGGAGGTGGCAAAGCGCAAGAAATATTATAGTGCCGAGATATTAGAGAGATATTATAGACGGTAATTAAACAAAAGAGGGACTTTCAATAAGTATTATTTTATACGTGGTAGAGCGATGCTGCAGCTATATTAGTAGTATAGTTGTAGCACGAATGGGTCGGCTCGACCGGGGAAGGACCACGCTCTCACAGAATACCGTAGCGGCTTAACACAGCTGTGTTTCATATGGTGAGTGTAGAGAACCGGAGACCCTTTTTTACTGGAAAAAAGGCATTCCATCTTAGTCCTCACGGATGACAACGCATCTGCATTTTGATTCTTTATTGAGGATAGATGTAGATGTCTATGGTTCACAGCAACCACTTACCATCAGGTGGGCTGTGTGGGCTCGTTTGTCATCCTTTCCTATATAAAAAAAATATATATAATTTATATAGAATAAAAAAGTTTCTGCTTCTGGTAGTGTGATCACTTACTAACTGCCGGAATCACGTGGCAGCTAATCTAGGCTGCAGCATGAATAGATCGATTCCACCGGGTCAGGACCACACTCTCACGAAATACTAGCGCAATGCTCTTCTATTTCGTATTCTGAGTGACCACACCGAAGACCCTTTTTTATTATAACGAGATATTCCACTATAGTATAAAAGGGTGACAATGCATCTGCATTATGATCGAAGGTATATCTTCATATATACCGGTGACATTTATTACCAAAAGAAAAAAAAATATAGTGTGTTAGGTGATCAAAGTAGTAGCCTATGGAAAAGATATTTTTTTTAAAGAGACTTAAATTTTATAAAATAAATAAATAAAAGTATTTAAAAATAATGAAATTAAAATCGTGTGCAACCTAATTTTTATCAATGAATTTGTAACGCCCTTGACCTCGAACCAACTGATTAAATTAGTAAGTAGTGTTTGTTTACAGTCTGATAAAAGGCCAATGAAAAACCAATACATTTGAAAAATATTTGTGCTATATATAGGTTTCGACTTCGTTCCCCTGTTATGTCATTTTTACGTTTTTTTTTATTCACGGTTTAAAACGGTACCATACATGAGCCACAGCATCCACTTAATACCAGCTTGACTGTGTTTGTGATCGTTAATCACTCTTGTGAAAAAAGTGCACGCGATAAAACAGACGCAATCACTCATATAAGATTAATATTAAAAACAAAAAATAAACAACTCAAACACAACCAAATCCGAGCTTCGACTGGGATCCTCTGTCTGTATAATCATTGTATCTAATACAGTATAGTATAGTGTATATAATATGTATACATATTATGTCTAGCACAATAACTCCTTCAAGAAACAAAAAATCTGGTCAATAAATAGTAATGTTTGTTGTGACAGCACGGTGAAAGCGAATACAACGTGGTGGGTCGCATCGGCGGCGACGCGCCGCTGTCGGCGCGCGGGCAGCTGTACGCGCGCGCGCTCGCCGAGCACATCAACGCGCTCGCCGACCGCGAGCCGCTCAGCGTCTGGACGTCGGAGCTGCGGCGCACCAAGCAGACTGCGGCCGACATCCGCGCCCCCAAGCGAGCCGTGAGGGCGCTCAACGAACTTGACGCTGTAAGTATTTTGTGTGCCAGCCAACCATTATAATTAGGATAGTTCGTAAGCCATTGGTGGCCATTCATTAATTACGTAAGGATGATTTTGACGATTTTGACCCCCCTACACCGATATACGTGTTCATAAGATTTCTCGAACCCCAAATATTACGTAAGAATAGGTTTTACTCCTCTCCCTCTACATGAAGAGATTTTTTTAACCCTTTATGTTTAATGAATGGCCCTTTGAAATTGCGGGCCAAAACTACTGTTTCGTACTTGTAGGCTACAAATTATTGTTCTACGTTCGAGAGTTAATGAATAAGCTCTAGATCTTATAGAGTTCTACCGTAACTTTTAATTAAAAAATAATAAAAAAGTAAATCTTTGTGAAAGTTTTGCAAATAATAAATACATTTTTTGAGTCTTTTTTATGTATAAAGAATTAAAATCTTCGCTTAAGATAAATTATATTATTAAATATTTTACAGACATTCTAAATTAGTGAACAGGTTAGATTATATTCAATATATAGAAATTCTCCTAACCAACAGAAAAAGAAAGTAATACGGAGCGCTACGTAGGTACTCAACTTATTGTAAAAACGCGCATTTACGTAGGTGTGTGTACACAATCATATTATGCATCTAAAATCATTTACAACCGACACCATGGTTATAATAAAAAATGTGTTCCTAAAAATAATGTTATAGTTTAAATCGACAAAAAGAAAAAACAAACATCTGTTTATAGGTTTCACGTGTATGTATTTTTAGGATAAGAGTTCTGTACATAATGTATGTGAGCTCGAGGATTCGGATGTGGAGAAGGGAGTCCTGGACTCCTGCTTCGCGGACTATGAGCAGTTCTTGTAGCTCACGGACGAGTTGATCGAGGCTGAAGGCAGGTATGCCGAGGAGGCCCGTGAAGCTCGGATGAGTGACCTGTCCGAGTCCTCTCTGAAGCAGCTTCAGCCGGAGCTGTTGGGACGACCTCCCAACTCTGGACCTGCCAAAGTTTTCCGGGGTCCTTTCCGAATGGCTGACCTTCGTTGGTCTTTTCGACAGCCTAGTGGACGCCCGGAGTGACGTATTATAAATATAAATATAAGTTTAATATAGCTTAACTTTTTTAAATAACATTATTCTCGATTATTCATTTTTTAAATCGTCTCGAAGAACAATATTATACAACAATTATACTTTACATTTTTCTTTTATAAAAATAATTTTTAATTTACCCCGAGGTAACAGTCGCTACTAAGCTACAAAGATTGAGCAAATTTAATACATGAATTATTTTAATGTAAGATGAGAGATGAAGAGGCGTCACGTCTCTATTTTTATCGTTCACTTATCTGGTTACCACCTACTTTTAATTTGATCAAGGTTCTAACCACATTTTTCACTTATCTAAACTAAATTGGCTTACATTCAATAAAAAGGAACTAAATATACCATCTTATTTCAATTACTATGGATGTAGGTAAAGATATAGAAATGCAAGTGTAGTTTGGTGTTGTGGAAATGAAATGGCTTTTCTTTTCTATATCAACCCGTAACATTCCACGGCTGTATTCCTTCCTTGCAGAGGGGATTCGCCATAATCGCTACGCTCGGCAGGCGGATTTGCGATTTGAGAAACCCTGTTCACGTTTTTTCGCTGCTCTCTGTTACCTACCGATCTCGGTATATTAGATCTGATTTTGAGATTACACGAGATGGTTGGTTACATATTATATACAATGATTTCTTATATTTACGCAAAGACTACACATTAAATTAAACTAATTTTTACGGATTTTGTCGCATTTAATTTAACTTTTTAAGGCCCGACGTTTCGGGTGCTTTACAGCACCCATGGTCACGGGGGGTGGCGGGACTGAAGTGTTTGAGGTGTTTGACGTCTCGATGTCATAGTTAACCCGGATACCTTCAGTTTTTGAATATAATTTTTTGGTCTGACTTACGCAGAATGAGCTTATAGTATCTTGAAGGCTTGCAGTGGTATGGTAGGATTTGGATTTAATTTTATTAATTATGGGATCCCAAGCAGATGGCAGCACCCATCCATTTTCTCTATTGAAATTTCGATTTTGACGACACAATTTTGTTAATAAGTTTCGATGCATTTATATGTAAAAGCTAACAAGTATTTACAATGCTATCATTTAACAGTATTATTCAACTAGTTTTAAAATTACGCGCTTGCTCGATCTAGCTCTATCATTTTATATAATGCATTATGGCCTGTCTGAATTATATTAGTGTTTTAAGAGAGTACATTAGAAGCACTCGAATACGAGAATGGGAAATCACTATAAGTAGCTTTAAAACTTTTGTACTAATGTACTCTCCCAAATCACTCTTAAGGACTAATGGCCGGTTTACATTATCTTTGTGTTTTAGGAGAGTAGAACATTAATGGAACTTAAACACGAATGCTAGATACAAAAATAAATAGCGATTCTAATTCATTTTAGTAGAAAAGTCAGAATTGTACTTAGAATTGTACTAAAGCTGTTAGTACTAATCACCAATTTCTAAAGCTATTAGTGCTAATCACAAGTACTCTTTTATCTCGTAATCCTAAAGACTAAGATAATATAAACCGGCCATTATTGCACAGTCCTATTACTGAATTTTGTTTTTTTGAATATTGATAAAATTACGCACGCACAAAACATCATCATCATCATTATAGCCTTCGCAACTCCACTGCTAAACATAAGGCTCCCTAAAGAAATGCGCTTTACACGCAAAACACGATCCCGAGCTACACAAGTCTTATCAGGTCGTCACTCCGTAGGTGAGGTGGTGTGTAACACTTCACTTATCGGTACGAGTCTGTTACTCGAGAACCTTCCTTGATCTCCAACGGTTGTTGGTTTTTTACGCTGTACTGCTGGTCCATTGCGACATCGGCATACTGATCGTTTGGGATATGTCGGTTTGTTTTTGTTTGTTTTTTTTTTTTAAAAACTTTACCCCCACACTAGGATTTTCTCCTGTGTCGTGGAGGCAGTTTACAAACATAAATTGCACAAGGACAAACATCCAGACCCGGAACAATTATTTGTAGGCCATACAAATACTTGTTCCGTGCGGGATTCGAACCGCAATTACTTTGGTACTACTAAACTTTAGTAGTAAACTAGTTGTTACGGCCTACGGCTGCTCCCTTAAAGGGTCAAACCTTCAGGGGCCCATGAGCTGAAGACTTCCCGAGCAGACGTAGGTCGGGCCTCAATGTGGCCACGTGGAATCTCTCGAATTACACTAAAATATATGGGAGAGCGTTCTATACTACGGCCAGTCGACCGGCAGAGGAATTAGGCGGAGCTTACTTACCTATATTCAAGGCGACTGGTCCCTCCGGAGTCGGCAGGTCACATGTGGTTGTGTAGTGAAAGGGAAATAAGTGATGTGATGTGTATCTGGGTGTGACTGATGGTGATTGAACCTAGACCTTGGCCGTCGGCAGCAGCCCGAGCGTCGACACCGCTCCAACTTGAGGGGGCCTTCCGAGGTTGTCCACATTCACTTTCTTCTTTCGTCACGTTGACAGTCAATTAACTCTATCGTACGATTAACTAACTTACAGAGGCCACTAACTATCGCTGGGTATAAGGTTAACGCACAAAACTCACACGGAGTTTACGGATCAAAGGTCACGACCGATTCGCGTAGCAACAGTTAGTTCTAGAATATCAGAGGCCGCACTAGCTAATATTGTCGAATGCACTTATACAGATTCTGAGTCGGACCCAATAAGTCCCGGGAAAGGCTATCCAAACAGGGAATGCGCGTTATAATTCCTAGACAGGATATTTACTAGACGCCCTAACTATTCCGCGGTTCCCGCACAAAATTAACAGCTTGCAGACATTAGCACAGCTGGCAGACGACTGACTTTTCGCTCGCGACCCGCCCGATCTTGCCACGCTCAGCCGAACTTCAAACCAGTTCGCACCGAGCCGAGTGCCCTCTGGCGTCGATTCTTGACATTAGCGTTTGGCGCGAACACTAGTTATATAATATATAAAAATTAATATTTGTTTGTTCGTATTTTATGCGCTGCCATACCGTTCGTCAGATTGTGGTAAAACTTGTCAACATATTGCTTGCACTTCCGCGAAGGTTATAGACGTAGTTGGACCCGGTAGGTAGCGTTGTTGTAGAATCCAGATATCACCCGTGCGGAGCGGGCATAGTAGTAAATATAGTTATAGCGCTAGTATGTAATAAAGTTTATATACTTTGAAGTAACACTTTGAAGAAAGTGACCGATCAAGGAAGTGATCCCATCCGGAAATAATTATAATAGTTATTAAAAATAATCTTGCTTTATAATCTCTATATAATCATTTTTATTGTAACATATGAATAATTTATAACCCGGTCCTAAAAAGTCTAGGTTTACTCACATTGACTTCAAGGCATGAGGCACTTTGTATGGATAACAGTTAATAGGTATTATCTGTGGATTTTTATCTTTTTTGTTTTACGGAATAGATAAGAAAGTTTATTAATCTTTCAACCTTGTAAATGAATAATTCATAGGTACTATTTATATTCTGCAGACATATTAGGGATTCTAGATAAAAATAAAAATTGCTTAATTCGTTTATTTTAGTATGAATTCATATGAATTTTGTCAAGAAGCCGGTAAGTTCTAAGTACGGTAGATTTATTTAATAGAAATATTTAAAGATATTTATGAAATCCGGACAAAACAACCATAAAATAATTTAAAAATTGAAGAAAAAAAATGCTAATGATATTAAAAAATAAATTAATAATATATATAATAATTTCAAAATCTGAAAGAAGGCTGGGCTATTTTTTTTTGGATTGCTAAGTATTATATTAAATTAAAAAAAAACACATTGCTAGACACTGCAATATTTTAAGATAGTGTAGACTCATCTGTAATGTAAGCTGAAGGTAAACCCCTAAAAATAAGTTAAAATTAAAGCTAATAGTATAATATTCACCTAAATGTAAGGAATTGTTATATTATTATTTCACACAAACAGTCACGTATCCAGAAACGTATCATATGTTTAATATCTGATAAAAAAACTATAGCTATTTTGAATAATAGAACGCTAGAACAGCTTTTTAATAGTTGTATAAGCTTTTTAACAGTTGTATCGACAACACTACCGGTAATAATAGAGCGTTATTCGAATTAAACACCTTCGATCTTCAAATCATATACATAAATACGTGTACGATTGTCTTACTATTACGAATTAAAATGCAGAATACGTTGTCACCCATGAGGACAAAGATTTAATGCCTCGTTTCCAGTAAAAAGAGTCGCCGGTTCTCTACACTCACCATATGAAACAAAACAACTTTAAGCTGCTATTTTACGTTGGTAATCTGTGAGAGCGTGGTCCTTCCCCGGTCGAGCCGACCCATTCGTGCTACAATTATACCACTAATATAGCTGCAGCGTGGCTCTACCACGTAAAAGTTCTGTCAAAGTTCCTGCTTGGTATTATATTTTCCTGCCTGCGAGTCCGTTATTGTAGGCTTTCCGGTCTAAAGGGTTAGAGTACCAGTACATTCCATCTTAGTCCTCAGAGGTGATAACGCATCTGTGGCATTTTCTGTTTGAAGTAGACTGCAGGTGTCTATTGACTGCAGTAGCCACTTTCCAACAGGTGGACTGTAGGTTCATTTGTCGCATCAATATACAGTAGGCAAATGGTGAAGAAAAATTAATTAAAAAAAATCTCAAACATGTCCTTGTCATTGTCCTTTTTATCTTTTAAATTGAAAATGCATAGTAATGCATTATTTTAACTGATTTTACTGTGCACGCACACATTCGTTAGGGTCGATCGGTAGATAAAAACGTTATTGCTCACAAATCACTACTTATTAACTCCTTATAATTGCCTAATTAACTCGTATTTTCAAAAACTGCAATAACGGTATATCATTATTAATATATTTGAACTTAAATTTAGAATTTGGCTACTCTTTGAAAAATAACTTTGTATACGTATTTTGTATGTCATATCCTGATCAACCTAAGAGGGAACAAAAAATGTTGTAGGTACGATGAGCAGTTCGGGTCTTCCTCACATAATAAACCCAAAATACTTTATAATCTTACTTAACATTAACCTTTTGTTGCCAGGGCATCTGTGAAGGCCTAACATATGAGGAGATGCAGGAGCGGTTCCCGCAGGAGTTCGCGTGGCGCGATCAGGACAAACTGCGCTACCGGTACCCTTGGGGCGAGTCGTACATCGACATCATGACGCGCCTTCGTCCAGTTCTATCCGCGTTGGAGGACGAGCATAACGTGGTCGTGGTCGGTCATCAAGCGGTGCTGCGTTGCATGCTCGGATATTTCCTAGATGCTAAGCTTGGTGCGTACGTTTAGTTATTTATTTATTAAGTTTTTAATTCCAGACCGACTTTCAGTCACGGCGATCTCCACGGAGACTAGCCATCTGCGCAAGGTAGGATTATAGTGAACAAGTGTGTGTGCAAGCACAGGTGCACTCTCTATTCCTTCACTCTCCTAACCCGATGGAACGGTAATCCGACACGACAGAAGAGAGATCAGGCGCAAGACCAACGACTTCGCGTGCTTTCTGAGGCATGGGGGTTGAGACACCGCCGGCTTTCTTCCTCCGGGTTGCTACTGAAAATTTCTTGACAGTAACATCCAATAATTGATTTTGGCCCGACGTGGGATTCGAAACCGGCAGCTCATGGTCAACAATCGCGTTTACGATCACTAGACCAAAGAGACAGGCAGTCAGGAAGCCTTTATAGCATATACCTTTATACTCATTAAAAAAATATTTTAGTCAACCCATGATTATGTTACAAAATCCAAATAATCAAAAGTTATCAACCGCCCACTTAGATAATTATAATGCCACACGTGTACACAGTACGCACAAACATTGTTATCGATACATTACATGCTTATTCGATAAGATCGAATGTACGTTAGAATACAGCGTCAGAGACGCGGTAATACCTATTTATTTCTGTAGTAGAGAACGGTTCGTCACACGTTGTTAATGCAGCGTGACAAAATATTTACGTCTTCGGAATATGACTCGATGTTTCCCTTTACCGATGTGCAAGTGGGATAAGTATAATAAAGTTACACCATATATACGGCACAGGTAGGGTTATCAACTCTCGAAAGGACCAACCCGGGAGAATTTTATGTAATCGAGACGAACAGATTTAACGGGAAGCGGCGCACGTTTTTGTGTCACACAGCTTGTGTGTAACCGCAAAGCAAGTGAGTAGCGACACGTGCGAACGACAGATGCGTATAATTTTTAGAAAAGCCGGAAAAATTATTGCACCCCGGGAGTTTGGGAGATTAACCATTGTTACCGGAGTCTCCCGGGCAATTCGAGAGGGTTGGGAACCCTAGGCACAGACCTCCTTTCATTTCTGAGAGGGATTTAGGTTAAAGATACAGCCGCCGTGTTGGCCCAATGTGTGGTGGCGGACTTCGCATAATTTCTTGATAATATTTTTTATTACTTTGACATGATCCTCAAGATCTTCAAGATGTTTTCCTTTACCGCCGAGCACGTGGTAAATCAGCATTTCAAACTGCAATTAACAATATCATTGGTGCCGGCGGAGTTCGAATCAGGGTTGCTAGCGTACTGTGAAATTTACAGCGAGCACTTAGCTCCTCCGCTACCACTTCGACTCGACTTAAAACTGCAACCAATGCTGCCAAAACTGAGAATTCTGCTCGGGCTCTCATGCCAGAATTCGTACACGACCCATCTCTTTACATATCTGGCAACTAATAATAATTTAGTTCATTATATGTGGTATTTTGTCTTAAAAATAATATAACTGTACTAAATAATTATATTTTGCGTTACAGACGAACTGCCGTACATGAATGTGCCTCTGCATACCATTGTAAAGCTAACATCGTATGGGTATAAGTACAAAGTGGAGATGATAAAGTTGCCCATCGATTGTGTTGACACGCACCGGAAACAGCCCAAGGTAAGAGATTAATTTATACAGATTACATTAATACATCAACACTTGCTGATTTACTACGTGCTCCGCGATGAAGGAAAACATCGTAAGGAAACCTACATTTCGCAGAAATAAGAAAAAAAAATATTACGAAGTCATGTGAAGTTAGCCAACACGCTTTGGGGCAGCGACCTAAAACGCCCTAAAACCCTCTCAGAAATGAGAGGAGGCCTGTGCCCAGCAGTGGGACTTATATAGTACACAGACAAGTACATCATGTATGTATATATCTTGTCATAGATTATTGTATTTTAAAGACTATTGATTTAGAGAATATTTCACAATATCGACTACCCATCTCGTGGCTGTCGTGTAAGAGGCGACGGAGGAAAACTGAAACAGGAGATAGGCAGCAGCATTTTGCTCATGCCAACCTAAAATAATTTAAAAAAAACTGCGGTTGCCAACCTGACGATCAAGAGTGGCAACTCCCTATGAGCCAATCTATGCCGGAGGCCTATGTTCAGCCATAGACTTTTGATATGCTAATAATACATAGCTAATAATTATAACGTAATTAAATATTGTAAATTTGTAACAATGTAGATTGAGAAATAGTAAATCAACACAGTATTTAAGTGTTTCAAAAAAGTATTAAAAAATTAGGAGTATTTAAAAAAATGTGTAACCTAATAATCTCAATCCATTTCTTTATTTCTCAGAACTGCTCAATAAACAGAAGTACCGCAGAAGCCTTAGTGACGGTGCCATCACATTATGACACTCTACCGTCGAATTTGTGGCAGAATCCAAATGAGGCACAACTTTAGGCACAAACGACGCGTCCCAAATGATGGGGCGTCTGAGCCTTTAACAATATCAGCATTACCGGGGCGACAGCCCTCGTGTGTGGAAGGCCACTAGGCCTCGTCTGGGTCATGAAACAACCACAGACATGGAAGTAAAGAGATGAGTAACAGGAGCCACATAGCGATCTATGGACTTATTGTAGACTGTTCACGCCCACAGTGCACTACAGCGAGTTATTAGTGTCAAAATGTTAGTGAAACAATCAATTGCGAACAAAATGAATAGAATGTTCGGGTACGAGTGTTATCTTCCCATAATTACTTATAAGACTGAAATGATTTTACTTTGTGGCAATTTTTGCAGTTCGTTTAATTTTAATTTTACTGTTTGTTCTTATGGTTAATTAGTGCGTCGAGTGACGGATAGTAACGTACCTATTTTTTAATGAATAATATATACGCTGCACGAGAGACCTGCTTGCATGGTTCGTGTGCAATTTTTTGTATTCATTTATGTTTGTATCATTTCGTTTTGTAAGACGTCATTCATATATGCATCTTTCATAGAATATAAATGATATACGTATATTTTCTCATATACACATATTTTTTTATTGTAGGCAATAATTGTAAATCTAAATCTTAAGTAAAAATTTAATTTTAAATTTAGAATGTCGAATACTAGTTTGAAAACAATTATATAATTTTCTTTTGTTTGCATTGTCACTTAGAAATCTTTTCGGGTTTTCAGAGCAATGTTACTTACGAATAAAATCGTTTAATTAGGCTTTTATTTGTCAATGTGGTTACGGTAGTTTACTTCTAAGTATTGGACGGTGGAGTGTACTTATGTCAATTGTTTTAATATTAAAGTGTACTCCTAATAATAATTACTCGTTAGACCCACTGCAGGGCGTAGTTTTAGTTCTATAACTACATAGGTTCAAAATAATATTTTGGAGGAACAGAGGTCATATAGGGAAATTATATTTGAGTCGACGTATATATAGTTTCTATAAAAGGAATATTGTTTTTTAAATAAATATAACTTTCGTATAGACAGTAGTTTCATTAAATTTCTTACCCTTTTGTTGATAAGTGATAATATGCCCCATGTAAGTTTAACTTATTTTATATGTCAATATAAATCTGACAAATCAGATTTAGATTCAGATGCTAAACCTCCCGATATTAAAGTGCAGGAAATTGGAAAAAAATATATCTACTATATAAATTACCTTCATAACTTAAAAACGCTATTTTATTATTTTTATTGAACTTATTTTAAACTGAGTACTTTAATTTTGAATTACTGATGATTGATCATTATGTTGTGATAAGGTGGTAAAAAAGGAGGATCCGTTTCATGGTCATCTAATTTTAACTAGGCTTTTGCAACGAAACGTTCCTGCATCACACAAAGAAAATTAAATAGGTTAAGGTTGGCTGTTAAAAAAGCTACAACAGCACTCACCATGTGAAACACAGCAGTGTTAAGCTGCTATTTTACGCTGGTATTCTGTGAGAGCGTGGTCCTTCCCCGGTCGAGCCGACCCATTCGGGTTACAACTATACTACTAATATAGCTGCAACATGGCTCTACCACGTTTTAATTGTAATAGTGCCTAGCTTCCTTATATATTACTATACTCTTTGGTGCCTAGTAATAACAGTGCTAAAACCTGTACAACATAGCTTGATCTTTTTGACAGATGGGTATAGTGATGGGAAACAGAAAATATCTAGTATTGCAAAAAATAACGTTTTTATATAGGTACTTGTAACAGTTGTTGCTAAATCGATAAAAATGATTTTAATTAAGGCTTCTTTGTAACCGATATTTGTAACAGTTACTGCCTGTTATTTGTGTCTAATCCGACCGAACGATGTAACATTGCATGAGTGACCATTTTTTTAAATTTTTCTATTTAAATCTTACTTTGAAGCAAAAAAACCACTAAGATTTTAGGAAAATGCTTGAATCTTTAATACTTTTGTGTTGTCTATTTTTAAAAAATTTAACAATTTTTAAAATTATTAAAATAAGAAAATAATATTATTTTCGTCATTGCAAAGTTATGTCGATCGCAAATTTGACATCTGTCAAAAAGATCAAGCTATGTTGGACAGAGTATAATGGTTGTTTGAAAAACAGTTTTGCGGATAATTTGCATAAGAATAATGAAAATAAGAATAACTTTAAGTAGTAGCTTAACATGGCGGAAGGAACAAAGTGTCTCAGCCCCCGATTACGTAGTACTATTATTGCATGCCTTCTTTTATTAGTGCACTTTTTACTACGCCTTACATTTTGACTAACGCAGTCAGGGCACCATTGACTTTGTTCCCGGCAGCGACACGCCTGTCCACATCTAAATCACATCTTCCATCCCGGCTAAAAGCACTCCCCAAGTATACAATTTCATTTACCTGTTCTAGACATTCCTGATTTACCCATATTTCACACTTCGTTCTCTCTTCGTCCCTTTCAAATACCAGAACCTTAGTTTTATTAGCATTCAAACGGAGACCTTTAATTTCACATTCCTCTTTCATACACGTGACTAAAGCCTGCAGTTCTGCCTCTGATGGTGCAATAAGCGCTGCATCATCAGCATACAGCAGACAATTTACTTTTATGTCACCCAATTTCACACCCAAACAGCTATCTTTCAGCTTCTGTAAACAGCTGTCGAGATACAGTATGAACAGCCAGAAAGACATGACACAACCCTGCTTTACGCCCGTTTGGACGTTAAACATGGGTGACAGGTCATGCCCTACCCGCACACAGGCTTTACAGTCACAGTAAAGAGACTGCACAGCCCTTAGCAATCGACCATCCACACCATACCTCGGCAACAGTTCCCACATTTTCTTCCTTACAACCTTATCAAATGCTTTCTCAAGATCCACAAAAGCACAGAAAATCTTCTGATTAGCAGCCAGAAGCTTTTCCGTGATCATGCGGAGAGAAAACATTTGATCCGTGCATCCTCTTCCAGGTCTAAATCCGCATTGTGCCTCCCATAGAAATCTTTCCGATTTCTCTTGCATCCTACGTGTCAAAACCTTCGAGTAAACTTTACTTGCTAAACTGGTCAATCTGATCGCCCGATAGCACCCGCAGTCAAAATGTGAACCTTTACCTTTATATAAAGGCACACACTGACTGCGGATCGCCAATCATCCGGGACATCCCCCGTCCGCCAGCACAAATTGCACAGCAGATGAAAGCTGTCCCAGACGCGAGGCCCACCATACTTGACCATTTCAGCAGTAACTCTGTCTAGTCCCGCAGCCTTACCACATTTCAAACTTCGAATCGCACGTTCAATCTCTTTCATACTGATGACCTCAGTGTCATCGAGGTCCGGGTCTGGCGTACCAGTCACGGCGTCATCCCCGGATCCCTCACTAAGATCGTCACACGCATATATTTCTCTATAAAATTCGCTCCATCGCTGCATGACGTCCGATTTTTCTGAGAGGACGTCATTAGTTCTCGAAAGCACTTTGTTCATTCTTAAGGCCGTCGCACCACTTCGGGTCCTTCCAACCTCTTTCCAGAAGAGTTTGGAGTTCTCCTTAAAGTTGTGCGACAACCTTTCGTCCGCTTCCATTCTACATCTTTCACGCACTTCCTCAATCAGTGCTTTCGTGTGAACTTTCTGCAGCCTATATCTTTCTTTCATCTTCTCTCTCATATCCTTATCATTACTAGAGGCCAAGTAGTCTAACCATGCTTTCTTCTTCTTCTTTACAGCTTCTTTCATTTCATCATTCCACCATGCATCTCTTCTTTTACTACTGCCTCTCTTTATTGTTCCACACACTTCTTCCGCTGCACTTACCATTTTTTTTTAAATCGATTAATTACCATTTTTAAATAAAAAAGGGGTTTTAGTGGATTATGGTGTGGATTCATCATGTCCCCAAGGATTGTAAACACGATAACTTTTGAAAATATCAATTGTTTAACTCAATCTATTTTTTAATATCTTCATCTATCATGTGGTAAGCCACTGAATGTAAATGGCAGTGTAATTTTGTTTTATTTAGCTGTAATAATTTTTTTTCGGCTGCAAAATGGCGAAATTTTTGTTGATTTGGTAGCCTTGTTTGTAAATTATTTCTGTAAATAGGGAGCTACAGCCACAGAGTAGTTTACTCACTCACTCAGTTCGGTGTCAGTCATGTGTGGTGGTCGTGAGTGGACATTGTTTCGGTTGTTTGCAGCAGCTCAAAAAGATCGCTGTACAAATACACAATATTCGAAAAACCAAATTTCTTAAATACTTGATTATAGGTAATAATAATAAGAGATTTTTTTATTACAATATTTTAAAAGCACAGAATAAATAATAGTAGTACGAACTAAAAGTAAGTATGTAGTATAAATTTTTTGTCATGGGTGACATTTTCATGGTTTGCGAGGATGTTGAAACCATGAAGCAAATCATGGTTGAAACCGATAGGGTTCATCATCATCATAATTACAGCCCTTCACAAGTCCACTGCTGAACATAGGCCTCCCCCAAAGAATGCCACAAAGCACGGTCCTGAGCCACCTGCATCCATCGACTTCCTGCATGTCTTACCAGGTCGTCACTCCATCTCGTGGGGGGACGCCCTACACTTCGCCTACCGGTACGAGGCTGCCACTCGAGAACCTTTCTTCCCCATCGGTACAGAACCAGAATACGAAACCTATCCAATTGCAGAGAGGTGTAAGACAGGGTGACGTCATATCCCCGAAACTCTTCACCGCTGCATTGGAAGACGTTTTCAAGCTTCTGGACTGGAAAGGATACGGTATCAACATCAATGGCGAGTACATCACTCACCTTCGATTTGCCGACGATATAGTCCTTATGGCAGAATCGCTGGAGGACCTAAGCACTATGCTCAATGACCTCAATAGTGTTTCCCAACGGATAGGTCTTAAGATGAACATGGACAAAACAAAGATCATGTTTAATGTCCATGTCACACCTATGCCGGTAGTTGTTGGGAGCACTAAGCTCGAAGTTGTTGACGAGTATGTTTACCTGGGACAAATAGTCCGACTAGGTAAGTCCAACTTCGACCGAGAGGTCAATCGACGGATTCAACTCGGCTGGGCAGCGTTCGGGAAGCTACGACACATCTTCTCGTCAGACATACCTCAAAACCTTAAAACGAAATTGTACAACCAGTGCGTGTTGCCAGTGATGACTTACGGAACTGAGACGTGGTCCTTCACTGCTGGCCGTATGAGGAAGCTCAAGGTCGCTCAGCGAGCTATGGAGAGGGCTATGCTCGGAGTTTCTCTGCGTGATAAACTTAGGAATGAGGATATCCGCAGTAGAACCAGAGTGACCGACATAGCCCAACGGATTAGTAAGCTGAAGTGGCAGTGGGCCGGCCATATAGCTCGAAGAACCGACAACCGATGGGGAAGAAAGGTTCTCGATAGGGTTGTCGAAATGTAAATCCAAGATGCCGGCCACAATAGGTATCAATTTTTTCATCATGGGTGTCATTCTCATGGTTTTCGCGGGTGTTGAAGCCTATAGTGCTGTCGAAATGTAAATCCAAGGTGGCGGCTGCAATGGGTATCAATTTTTTCACCATTGGTGTCATTTTCATGGTTTTCGCTGGTGTTGAAGCCGATAGTGCTGTCGAAATGTAAATCCAGGTAGGCGGCTGAATTAGGTACCAATTTTTTCATGATGGGTGTCATTATTAAGGTTTTCGAGGGTGTTGAAGCCGATAGTGCTGTCGAAATGTAAATCCAAGATGGCGGCTGCAATAGATATCAATTTTTTCATCTTGAATGTCATTTTCATGGTTTTCGAGGGTGTTGAAGCCGATAGTGCTGTCGAAATGTAAATCCAAGATGGCGGCTGTAATAGGTATCAATTTTTTCATCATGGATGTCATTCTCATGGGTTTCGCGGGTGTTGAAGCCTATAGTGCTGTCGAAATGTAAATCCAAGGTGGCGGCTGCAATGGGTATCAATTTTTTCATCATTGGTGTCATTTTCATGGTTTTCGCGGGTGTTGAAGCCGATA